AGGGTATTAGTATTTTGGGTTGCGTAATAGTTATTTACGTGGCAAGCTTAGTAAATTAGCCTTTACGGGCGAGCCGGAATGTTTGCAGGGCGAGCGACGTAGGAGCGAGCTCTGTAATCCGGTGAGCCCCAGTAAAGGCTAGTTGCAAGCGAGCCGCGTACAACGTTTTACTTCCTCTTGCTGAAAATCCTGAAAATGAACAACTTTGGCATCTCTAGAAATTTTACTTGAAATTACAGTCATAGAAATTATAGTCATTTTTCATAGTTTGCTCCGGTAACTATGGAAAATTAAATTGATTGAAAATAACGGGACTGTCAATTTGTAAATTCGATTAATAATTTAAATAGTTTAATTTTGTTTCTGAGCTCTGTTAATTGTGGAATTCGTTGAAGATGAAGAGTTTGAAGGTGATTTTAACGTTAGTATTAGCACAGTATTAGTGAGATTAAGAAAAAGGCCGACGCAGCGAATGTGTGTTTGATTCCGGTGCTGTCATGACAACGTTTTACAGGCACGGTGCCTGTAAAGCTGCCACGGTAACGCTTTACAGGCAGGATGCGTGTAAAGGCTAATTTACCGAGTTAGTTCAGACGACAGTAAACGAGCTTTAACAAGACAAGAGGAAGTAAAAAAAATTTTCAGAAGTAATTCTCTCGTGACTAACCCTGTATGTATTTACTAAGTATTACATTACCCCGATCTCTGTCTTGTGTAATACGGGACTGTACTAAAAGTTAACAAGAGTGTTAACGTGCAGGGCAACCATTATGAATCATCCTAAATGTAGTGTAATGAGTAATCACATATTCTCTAAAGCATATCAATAGCATATTATGAGTATAAAATTGGCGACTTTATCTTGAAATGTATTTCCATTGTGAGAGATTTAGGCATTATATTTGATCAAAAATTATCCTTCATTGATCAATGAAGGATAATATCTCATCATAATGATCATTATGATGAGATATTTTCCTCATAGGGCTTTAGGGTTTATCATACGTAATTGCAAAAACTTTCAACTTAATAGTACTCTCCTTAGTTTATATACTTCGTTTGTTAGATCAAAACTATGACTGTTTTATTGGGTCTCCAGGCTATGATGTTTATTGTCTCAAATTAGAAAAGTTACAAAGAAAATTTTTAAAATCCTTTCAAATCATTTAGGTAATAGCCTTGTAGAGGTTTTCCTCAAAATGAGCTTTTGGTAGACTGGACTCAAACATTTAAGGCGTTTATGGCTTCACACCAATTTGACTCCCATTATAATTCAATAGGCCGTCACAGCCGGATGTCTTATAAACCCGCTCACCGATACCTACCTGAAAAGACCTTTTCTGGTAAAAGCACAGGGCAGGACTGAGTTTTGCATTTACCGACAACTCCGCCTTTCTATTTTTTTATTTTAGGTAAAAACAAAGTAACTTTGTACTCAATCATTTTTTATTACAGCAAATTAGTTAGAATTTTGACATACACTACTTACTTATTAAAATTTTATTAAAAAAATTAAGCTCGATAAACCTGTTTTTATAATTTGTAAATAAATTTAGTTGTGTTATTACACTTCTTTTCAATTTTTGGAGCATATGCTGCTGCATACCTCTGCATATATTAATAAAGTTACTGCATATTTGCATAAATTTCATGCGTATTACATGATCATATTTCTCAAAATTTTGCTGCATATTTTTCGCTCTCTAGTCATGTATTATTTTTAATATAACAGCAATATAAATGTACCCTCCGGATTTGAAAGAAAGGACGGCGACATCGTCAAAATTATTTGATTTATCAAAAAACTTAGTGGACCAGTTTTCTATGATTGCGATCGTACTTATTAAAGATTTTATGTTTTTTGCTTTCAGTATCTTAATAATATTTTCAAATGTGCAGAATAATGATTAAATAATTAAGGTATGGAAGAAACGTTAAAAACAAAATTACTCTTAGTCCGGTCCTTCGCGTCTCGGCCGTCCCTGGCACGTGACATGGTTTACATTTACTAAGTTTTATGAACGGTCGGCTGTAAAGTACTTTAAACGTCAAAGCCATAAGCGCCTTAAATGTTTTGAGTCCAGTCTACACTTTTCCATTCAAAACTTGGAAAAGAGGAGAGAAACTTTGTCTCTCTGTTTTCTTTTTAAATTGGTGAATGGTGTTGTAAATTCTACTAATGCTTTAGTTGAAAAATTGTGGTTTCTAGTTTAATGTCAAACATTAAAAATAAAAACCCTTTATGTTTTATACTGAAATTTCTAGAACAAATGTACATATGTTCTTGCCCATTACAACTATGTGCAGAATTTGTAATAATTATCGGAATAAATTTGATATTTTCAATTGTAGTTTACGCCAGATCAAAAATGCACATCTATAACTGTCTATAAATTTTTAACTATTTAATTATGCATTTCTAACGATCTAATTTAGTCCTAATATACCACCCTAATAATTGGTTTATCTGTAGGGGTGGTCAATAATAATATTAATAATAATAATTATTATTATTATTAAAATTACCAACCTTATCGGGCACTAAAATTTTCATTACGGTCCATCTCGACAAACCGTCTCCCAGCCATCTAGACTGCGGAAAGTTTACAAAAGTCTTTAGTTAAGCCCTCATAAAAATTAGTGGAAGTCAGTGGACGCCTCAGGCAGATTCCGCACAAGAGTTTTGGTTCACCTGTAGATGATACGGTCAATAATGTAACAGCTCTGCTGTGCGAGGCTAAGTAACTAAGTATGTGTTGTATTTCGTGAATCTCGTAACAACACGAAAAGCTGAAAACTGATCTATAATTTGCACTCTCGATACAGATTTTGGGTTTTGCTCATATTTATATTTGCAGTCACACATTCGCAATAACTTGTGTACTTGCATCCACTTGCTCTTTGTCTTGCTTTTTTTACTTCCATTGCAATCCAGTCCGTCGGCCGACTCTCTACTTTTACGTTTTCTCGACCTTTCATGACCCCTAGAATACGAAGAAATAGGTCTTCCTTTTCCGCCTGTTTGCCGTCACGGATTTTTATTAGATAGATAATCTTCGAAAATACTGGGCTGATTGTTGTCAAATTTTGTATTTGAATAGGTATCATGTAGATCGTAAAACGCCAACCAAAATTTCATCATCCCCACCAATAATGTGATGACGTCCGTTCAAAATTGTACGTAGTAAACGGGTTTTAAATTGTATGAAATAACGTAGTCCTACACATGTAGTTAATGATTCCGTATTGAGTTCTTGCCCGAAACGTCCAGATTTTTGGAAAAAATTCAGGATTATAAAACATTTTGCAATTTAAATTTGAACCTGCAAAACCGAATGCTTTGAAATCTTACAGATGTTTTACAGGTATGATAAGCATGATAAATTTTTCATTAAAATATATTTACTCATCAATACTTGTAATTTAACACTGCATTCATATTTTTTAAATTTGCTTATACGGGGGATCTCAAAAAAAAAAAAACAATGACTGAATCAGTTTATTTTATTGATTAAATCAAGAATTGCACAACTGAATACTTTGAAATCTTCCAGATGTTTTGAAGTTATTGTAAGCATGGTAAATTTTTAATGAAAATGTATCTGTTTATCATCCCCAAAAAATTGATTAAGTATGTACGAATTAAGTACAAAATATGATCAGTCTATACTTGTAATTTATCATTGCATTAATATTTTTACTTCTCGCGCGTAACCGAAGGAAGTATTGTAATCGAGTCCGTCGGCTGACTCTCTACTTTCATTACGTTTTCTCGACCTCAACTCAAGAGTGCGAAGAAATAAGTCTCCCGTTTCCGTCTATCTGTCTGTCTCTTTGTCCGTTTGTCTGTCTGCCTTCCCGATTTTTTAAATTGTAATATTCATTTTCATTCAATTTCATTCATATTTGGAAGCTAGGCCGTTTTTTGTAGCTGAGAACTAAGAGATCTTAGTTCTAGATAATATCATAGGTTTTTTCGCCTCTCTAGAACGGAGAAATAAACGACTTTGTGCCCCATATTTTATGTTTCATTTAGAGGCAATTTTCCAACCTTGGGGTGCAGCATTTTTCATTTGAAAACCAAAAAAACCACACAACGTAAAGTTCCACTTTGGTGAAGATGACAGTTCAAGGCCAAATTTTTTAATTTTTCGCGGTTTTAAAATTTTGTTAAATGTCAAAATTTTAGCGGGATGTTTGGGTTATCACAATACTTGTAGTAGGAACCAGGAATAGTGAACATTAAGTATCTGTTTCCAAAAGTGTTTATTACAAAGCCTCAATAAACCACTTATGATTATGGTAATGATTATTTACAGCTCTGATAATCTCTGTGACTACTTGTCTGAAAGGTTACTATAATTATAATATTTAATGATTAAAAACGTCCGATTTGCAGAACCTTCAACAAAAGCAGGAGTTGTAAAATCAACGCGGTTATAACCCTGAACAGTTTCCAATAAATACTTTTGGAAACAAAGCCACTAATTCTTGGTCTCTACTATACTTGTGAATTTCGAAAACGTGTAATAGTATATCTAGTAATTTTTTTGCGTAAGCATTTACCGAAAGCTCTATAAATATTGTTACGTTGAGCGGGTATTTAAAATCGCTGTGGGTTAAACTCAACGATTTATTTCTTAGTATCTCGAATTTAGACGACTAATTACAGAGCCATTATGTACCAAATAATTTTGGCGCAACTTGATTGAATTTTTTCGACACTCGCTGGACTCGACTCAACTGAATAATCTCGATTCCGAAGGTGGCCTCTATTTAAACCCACACTTCCCTTCTAGAAGTTCCGCAGTCGTGGTTTTTCTTGAATACCCATCCCGTACATACTAGAACCCATAGGCGTCGTACCGGAGCGGCGCATAGGTTTATTTCGTAACAATATGTTGGTGCAGTTTGTATAAAATTGAAGCTCTGGATATAACAGTTTACAAATAAATGACGGACTTTTCATTTTGGCTATGCATATTTGCGAAAACACTACCTCATGATAAGTTAGTTTATTTTTGTTCATAAGATAGTGCAAACAGAAAAATAGTCATTCGTTACAACAAAATAGTATATATTATATATTTTAGTACGCCGTCACATCAATAATTGCACACATTTCTCCTTAAGCACAATAACATCACATTACTCTATAAAATCATAAACTTTACAGATCTCATGGTCACCAATATCACTAACGATATCGGCATGCTTTTCCAGAAACAAACTGTACTGGCCATCTCTTGCGGTTTGTTCAGGTCCCTTCAATGCATGTTTTCTTATAAAATCTAACACTAGTTCCGGCGCCACCTTTGACATTTCTAAGCGATGACCCCACGTAACCAAAGCCAAAGGCTAAAACAACAAATCGAAATTTACTTCTTAAAAAATCGCCACACTTACACGTTCCGCAGTTAGTAGATTATAAGGTGTTATAATGTGTCTGTAGAGACATTTCTTAACCAAGATCCTTAACATATTAACTTCGTTTTTATCAGCACAGGGGTGATATAACATAACTACGGCACCATGCTCTAGATTGTGCACCCATCGTTGTCGCGGTAGGAATGTGTATTCGCCGTATTTGGCCCACAGGGGGCGGTGGGTCCCACTGAAGCAAATAATGACAGTAGTAACACACCAAAACGGATAAAGCGGAACAAGAATGATTGAGATTTTATGACGGTAAAAAAGTAATCATTTCTATAAATTTAAAATTGGTTTAAACTAAACATTGGTATGAGAAAATAGTTGGGAAAGTTCCACATACTTACAATGTTGGTATTACCACATTATAGTCAATAGGGTCAGACATGCACTTATGGAGTGCCTACAATTGGATTTGACAATTACAGAGGTACATATTTAGATTTACATGCATACACTATAGCCTTTGGGTATATAGTCATACGAATATGTAGGTTGTACATCGCTGCGAGGTTTGTACATGTTGTGCCTGTTAAGAATAAAGCATGTATAGTTGATGGGATTAAAATCCCAGTCGACTTCAAGGTGGGTCTAAAACAGCAATTATCACCCAATATAAGTAAAAAACGTAATTATACTTTGCCGTCGTCACAATGTGGGTTTCTAACCCCCATCATGATACCGTGGTCGGCGTCATACAAATTTTTTCGGATTTCAAATGAAGGGTTTAAGTCTTGAGTGGTCCCTGGGTTATATGGGAACCAATGGCCGTTCCACGAATTTTGATATACTGACGGATCTGTAAAATCTCAATAAGTCTGAAGCAAAGCCGACCTTGTACTTACCATCAGCTGCCACAATACTGCATGTAAATAACAAATAAAAGAGAGACTTCAGAGAGATCATTTTGGGAATTAAATTTGGAATTTTGTGTGTTACACTTAAAACATCGTCGAACACACTGGAAATTTACACGTATTTCGCAATGTTTGTGTTATATTTTGATAAATTAGACGCTTTGCTAGATAATACTGACTTTTGCGGTAATTATGTATTAGAAATAATTTGATAAACAATCATATTGATGGCTTGGGTGTTTTAACTCATGACAGCTGATGTTGACAGTTGGTGTATTCCACGTCGAAAAAACCCCAAGTTTGAATAAAGGCGCCAAATTTCACCAAGATGGCGCCAATAAAACTCCTACATTCAAATATTGTATATTATATAGATTTAAATGAATCTCCTAATTTACATAGGTACAAATCCACAAGATGACACTCGTTATGGTTCTGCTATATGTAGAACGTAAACTCTACGAATGATGGTACTATATATTATTGTCTAATGTATAAACTTTACGTGAAAGCAATTAGGTCACAACTAGTGTATTTACAAGTGAAATGAAGTGATTAATTTGTCGTATCATCTTGTGGAGGTTGCGTGCACATTCATTTGACATGTTACAAGGAGCAGACATAGACACAGGTGCCACTAGCTACAAAGGTCACAACACACGAGTGAGGGGACTGCGCCCTCAACACCAGCGTTCAAAAATAAAGATTTTCTTATAACAAAGTTTCGCTAGTGGTCAGGGTACGCTTCAATACTTTTGCAGTGTACAGTTACATACTAATAACCTCAACAATTAAATAAAATAACAATATGACTAGGAAACTATTATCTATTACACTTAGTTTGTTGAAGTACGTTTTCACATTTGTGCTCATTTAAAGTTGAAAAGGACACATACATAGAATCACAAGGTTCTCCTTTAACCACGGTTTTTGGTTTAAATTGGTGTATCACCATGCAAGTCTTATGCTTTTTTTGGCCATTGTTTAAATAAAGTTGAATGAATCATCTCACTTTTCCTCAAAATCGCCTAATTAACCTAATCTACAACTATAAAAAAGTCGATGATCATTGTATAAATCACAATAAAGATAAAACATGAAGTGCGAGAAGAGCGACGATGATTCATCGAACGAGTATGGTTAAAGGAGCTGATATTATATATAAATATTGCCATTTCTTTGTAAAACTATGCTAGACATAAACAAAAATAATTTCAACTTGTGAACATAATGTACAGATGTGTAACATCGTTTTTATTTTGTTCAAAATAGCCTATCTCTACTACATACTCATATCTCAAAGAACTACTTACATGATAAAAAGTATTTTTAACTACATTAATATCTCACTTGTTTGCATCGACACTTAAAGATGCAAGAAAATTTATTACATTATAAGTTTCAAAGATTTTTCCAATTGAATTGACACGTATAACTTGAATTGCTTCGCTGGTGTTACAATTCACTAGCAGAAAGTGAATTACTAACGCCACCGCCATACTGGAACTATGCTATGATTTAGGTCCAGTACAAAATCGTCTACATACATAAATATGACGAAAGACTTATTTTCATTATTACAGAGATCCTTGAAAGCCTAGAAATGTACAAACTAAACGGTAACCAACTGAAAAGGGCAAAAGGGATGACGGAAGACAATAACGCTAGGCCATTCCACGCAGAAACGAACAATTCGCCTCTTATTTCGGTATACATATATTATATCTAAAATCATTAAAAAATAACATTAGTCTAGAGGACTTAGATTACTTCAACGATATTTTCAAGTTGCAGTCTCAGTTACGTTATACAAGTCTTGTTTTTGTCAGAAGTTGTTTCTGGATAGAACACCATTTTATTTTTATAGTGTAGTTCACTTGAATTTTTGGAAGTTACCGTTTTGGTGCGTTTCGTTCTTGGACGCACACAACACTACACGGCAAAAAGACCAAAAATAACAATAATGAAGTTAGCTTCTTTTTCGATATAGTCATTTCCGGTGTGAAGCTTTTATTATCTATCTGGTTCCACGCAAAACTGACCCTAACTTAAGTCAGTAAAACACGGATCCAAATCCAAAGCTAACTTCAGCTAAACCAAAAACAAACAAAATGAAGTGTGGTAGTAGACACGAAACGAACAAAAAATGAACTCTTTGCTCCCTCGAAAAAGTCAGTTGTAGGCATAAAGTTTGACACAACATAATTGTTATCATATACAAGTAAGTATTACGTGTAGTTCATTGCAGATGCAAAAATTTTAACAGCCTTTTACGGTCCCGTCAGTATATTCATGTCTTATCTCTATTTTTTTAAGTGTAAATATTCTCCTGGAACTATGTAAAACCGTAAAATAAAATCGTGTTCTACATTTTTAAATATCTCCAAAAAAGTGCAATTTTTAAAACTTTTCCTCATAAAAATAGACAACTTTCCAGTTGTTACTAGCACAACTGATCGCTTTTGTGTGAATTGGCCTTATGTGATCTACTTTTCTTAAACCTGATGTATGTACGACCGCTTCGCCATAATGATATCAGTGCTTAAAAGATGAAGTGTAGATAGTTTCAAAATTTCCCGCCAAAAACTTATCGATAAATCAAACAGCTCAACGCTTGTTACGTTAGGAAATTTTCTTAACGTAACAAAACCTTGTGCCTGGAATCCCTAAAGTGCAAGTCTATTAATCTTGATTAACTTAAGTAGCATGATATGCTAAGTCTTGATATTTTATTTGGATTTAATTTCTAAGTCAGTCGTCTTTAGTGATTTTTTGATGGGAAAGTTCAAAAGTTAGTTTAAAAAAATATTCTCTTTTGTATGGCGACTGGGGTTGAATGTGTACAGTCTGGGTAGTTACGTGCAACAGGTACATATGAAGGTACTGTCTTCCGAATTTTAGTTAGGCCTTTCAAAATCTACTGATTGTGTGTGCACCCCTCTATAAAGAACAACAGTAGCTGCTACACCTAAAAATCTATCTTAAGCTAACACTATTAATCAACATTTTCTTAAAATATATTACACGGTAATTTCAGACCTCAATTTACATAAAGGTTATAAAGAAAAACTGGCACCTTTTCTCGATATGCCCAAAATAAAAACTTGTCTTCTGTTCTATAGACATAGAAAACAGTAACTCTGTACACTAGTACGCAGTAACATTTCTAGACAATTTTAAAACGAAAATTTAACGTCTGCTTAAATATCACACATTGTCGAACTCAACATTTACATATTATTGCTACAGCAAATGTTTGCCAAGATTCTTGAACATGTTCCTTTTATAATTACATCTGCACTCTAAGCTACAAACCAAAAATTTGTCAAATAAAAATAACTACATAGACTGTCTCAACAACAAACAATGCAAATTTATGCTCGGAGCAAGCGAAGAAGAACGATGATTAGTCGAAAATTGGTTCACCATCTGAAACAAAACGATGTACACTCCCGCCGAAAACTGTCCATCAGAACTTACCAATATTTACCCCATCAGCCCCAAGTAACTTCCAATGGTGACTGTGACTATTAATCCGAGAATTGTTACGCAGACTAAGATCATAATTTTCTTCTGCAGATGAAACAAACACAATGATACAGTTAATTTCGATTTTATGGCATTTATAACACTACGCTATGTGCCATTGTCACTTTGCAGGCAAAGGCATGTTACACAGACCTGTTGACTTCTCGATGGTTTTTTTTTTTTTTTCAAATAGTAGTAGTACTTTATTGAAATAATTAAAAAGTATACACTAACTGTAACATAATTTATTATTTAAGAAACAACACAACATCGCTATAACTAAATTAAAAAATTAAATGCCTCTTTAAGATAAAAACGCCACGTTGTGGTTACTCGGAGACTCTTACCAAGGCCACTAAAGCAATTACTTTTGTCATCTTGTACTTCTGAGCTAACAGCAGTGATGAATGTTCAGAACTGCTACAAGATTAGGCACGAACTGTTGCATACTAAGCATATTTCACTCTTTATTGCTACTAGAATTTTTATAAAAACTTATTTGCTGGTGGCGCTTTAAAGCAGAGTTTCAAATAAAATATTATAGATGTTCAGCCCGTCACAAACTCATAATGCAGTGATGCTGTTTGTGGTTACAGGTGGGCAACAAGAATTTTATGGCCGCCGAAACAAGTATGGCACAATGGTAAGTTTTTATTTTGCTGCTTATTACAAAATCTAGCAAAGTACAGAACCAAGCTCATAGTTTGGTTATATTTGACCTTCAAAAAACAAATTTGATTTGATTGAACGTTGTAACTTTGGTTGTACCGTTTCGAGATGGCCTGTATCTCGAAAAATCTCATTTTTCTCCATCTCAAACAACGACAACGATATTATACCACGTAAATTTAGTTTCATAACTTAAGTTATGACAACACACACAGCACACGTAAGTTTACATTAGTTTCAGTTAGCCAACTCTGCTCATTAGTAGGTACAACAGTAGTTGAAACTACGGAACTATTGTAGACAACTGTTGCGACGTGCTCGTTATTTACCGTATTGAAAAAAGTTTATTTATATTGACAGTTCACAATTAACTGACCTAGTTGGAACAATAATTATTCCAGACGTGAACTATTGTTTTGTCGTTCCATTATCCGAGTCATTTATCGATCTGAGTCATATTCGACAAACAAACAAACAAAAAATTGACATAAATAAAATAAAAACAAATATAAAAATAAAGTTTAATAATTTATAAACATAATTACAAATAACAGAAAATATACAAGGCTAGAGGCAACACGATCGCAATTACCCGGTTAAATTCTGTGAACATTTACGGCACAGGTAATTATGATCCTGCTGACGTAATAATAAAATAACAAGATAAATATTTAGACTTTAATTTGAAGAATAAAATGACGGTCTTTGGTATGACTGAAATAAGTTGGATAAAATTCAATAGTCTAAAATCTACGTTTACATCAATCACAGACTAGGCAAAATCCGAAACTCGTGTTTATACAAGCTTCCAAGTTTTCAATCACTGACACTGGAATCAGGCAATAACATTTCTCAAAATCTCAAAATGAACGTTTTTTTATTCTTCGCAGGCTCACATTTGTCACTTGAAAAATGACAGCGCCCTCTGGAGACCCTTAGTTATAGGAAATGTCAGTTATAAAGCTCGGAGGCTTGTAAAACAAGAAAATATTTACTTTTCATATACTTCAACGTCCACATTCCAAATTTATGTTAAAGCTACTCAAATTTATAGCTTCATAACAAAGAAAGCTACGCAACAAATATGGGCCGTTCCCATGCGGCTTCACTCTGGATAACATATTTGTTTTTGGGCAGCTTCAGCAACAATAAGTTTCTGCTTGGGTGGAAATTCCCATCAGTTCGTCTTACTCGGAAACGCCAGACGTGTTTAAAATTTAGTAAGGTAGCGACAATCATCGTTACCGCACTAGGACGGTAAAGACGAAATGGGAATTTTCTCGCCGATGATGAGAAATTTGCTCGAAGACTGCTTGAACGCTTAATTGCAGGGATATCAAGAATGCGGCCCGTAATTATCCAATTTCTTATGGTCAAAGGCCAAATTGCAATACGTTACGATAAATGAAAACAAGAACAATCTGTAGATTATATCGAGTATTATTTTGTAACGATCAGGCGGTGATGCAAACTGCTAGATTTAAATAAATAAGTAGATAGGATTGATTCTACGATATATAACAAACCGAATCTCTTGTAAAAATTATACTTCCACATACTTACAACTATTTTAAAGCCTATATTATATTGCAGAAAGATGCATCTTTACAAGCTAGAAGTGACTTTTCCTCTTATAGTACTATCCAGTTACCGTCTTAATATGTTTAAAGAGACAATTATTTTTATTGCTTAGATAATTTTTATACTGATTAACATCGTTGACACAAATACTACCTAAGCTCACTATTTTAACATTATAAGAGTATTGAGATTCAACTCTACCCTCCTTTTTTTAAACTGTATTATGAAGAAACGGGCAGTTACGCTAATTACGTTAAATGCAACTAACAAAAAAAGATAAAATAATTAAATACTTCAAAAGTCCTTTACACCTGTATTAACAGCACAAAATCAAATTCTTCTCAGGCAGTTGAAAGTCACTTGACATACAAAACCATGTCAGACACCACATATATACAGTATATTGCAGGTTAACATTTCAGTTCTTTGCACAACTGACACTCTAATGCTGGCTGGTTTTTCATACACCAGGTAAAGTTACTGCCAAAATAATGATTAAAATGATGAGAGTTACTATGAGGCAGATTATGATCAGGATCTTTTTCTGTGAACAGAAGAAAATAAAAAATAAAATAAATAAATGTAAAACAAAAATACAGGGTCTTGTAGACTTCTGACGGACTAGAAAATCAAACAAAATGTTTAGGAGCTGATTTTGAACAAATAAAGCGACGTTTCGGAATTAGCCGTATTAAGAAGAAGCAGGACTAAACGTTAAATTAGTATGTCTGTTATTACATGTATAATACACAACACCACTGTCGTAGGCATCCGTTGGGAATTTTGAATCAAACCTCTTTCCTCACTCACAATAGATTTCACGTACGCAGCAAATGGTTTGAAGAGATCACTTACAAAAAGTAAGAATAATGTGGGTCTCAAAATGGTCCATTGAATGAACCTTGTCGATGTTAAAACTTAGTAAATCTGTTTTTTTTTAAGACGAGTAGACGTTCGGGTTTAATCCTGCTTCGCCGTGGTGAGTGAATAGTCTGACTCCGAATCGTCGGCAAAAAAGTAAACCATAAAACAAAAAGACCCTGCTTAAAAACACCAAAACATTGAAACTTTGCACTAAAAATAAACAACAAATATACAAAGGCAAAGCCGGGAATGTTGTTCGGGAGGGGATACGGGACCTACCTTTCTAGCTTTAGTTTGATACTCCTGAGCAGTTTTCAACTCAGTGCGTCCTGACTTTACATGATTTGAAGTCAAGCCGACATGATATTCCACTCGATCAACAAGTTCGCCCTACAGGTTTGGTAAGGAAAAGGGAAAAGGAGAAGGGAATGGAAGCCCACCACATAGAAACACCAAGAGAACAGCGCAACCAACGTTTATATATACAACATTAATATTCATTAAACAGAGTGACAAAGGCACACAAAGTAGTTAGTATGAGTTACCATTAGTAGTGCAGAGTAGAGAAACGAAAAAAATGTAGAATGACGGGAAACGGGGGGACGGAAAGAAAGGGAAAAGAAAAACATCAAAAAATTAGAAGCGGATAAACACTGTGTGATCTTAAAAACTAGGAACAGACTCACCCGCCTCGCTTTGCTTTGGTATTTTAACGCTTTCTTGGTATCTTGGGTTGCTGTTTGTACATAATCCACAGCGTGTTCTACATGGTACTCGATACGATCGATCATTTCTCCCTACAAACCCACCAGGAAGAAGGAAAATATTGGGTTAGTTATTTTAGAAAGAAGCCATGCCTTAAAGGTTTACAGAAAATGCTTTTTCTACGAGTTAAAGTTTAGCTCGGTTGTTAAGAGAAGTGTTATTAATGATAGTGTGAGAGACATTATAGGGTTGAAATTAATCTCGCTGGGGAATAGTTTATCCAAAACTGTAATTGCATTAATATTCCTGTGAATTACGGCGTGTCCGGTGGTTACGAGCTCTCATCAAAAGCGAGAGCGGGCAGCTGAGGCTGACAATAATAAATGTGACCTACATGCTGAGGGAAAATGTCAAATGTCACAGAATTTCTATAACCAAATTCTAAATATGTACTCTTTTTGGTAAAACGATTTCGTGAAAAGTACGTATGAAGAAATTTTGTATTTATTATAACAATACTGCATTTTCTAGTGTATTTCATTTCAACAGGTGTCACGTCCAGAGAGATAATCACAGTCGATTTGTTGCTCTAAAGTTATTTAATCAGAATTTTCCTCGCTCTTGAAGCACAATAAAACAATTACAGTTTCTAAGATAAACATAAAAGTTGATTCTGCAAGTTTTATTTTATTTTTTGTGGTAACGTCTCACGCAACGCAAACAACGTTGAATCTCATTTAATAAATCTCCAATAATTTTTTGGATGACGTCATTAACTTTTTAAACAGATGAATAAATACATTTTAATTGCAAAATTTACTTTTACACATTTGTTTATTATTATTATTATTATGAAACCACAAATAGAGGAGATTGGGAAGCAAAGAACGATATTTAGCTATAAAATAGGAGACGCCGATGTTTGCGACAATGTGACGATTTATTAAAATTGTTGAAGTTTTAGTACAAAAGATATTTTCCACACCATATGATTGCTGATACTTTGAAAACTACGTCTTCATACACCTGTTAACTTGCACCGTTCCATGCAATGAAAATGATCATAAAGAATACCAGCTAAGTGCATGCCGCATTTTCTCCGCGTAAAACCGTTAATATACCAAATAAATCTGCCGTAGCTCCTCTTTTGCCGTATCTTGCACCATAATCACATATACATTATCTTCGAAAGGATAAATTCCTTTTAAAGCATTAAACAAATTGACTGTAGCTCTACAGCTGGAGGTGCCATTTGGTGTTGTTATAAAAAATATAACATCCCTGTTTGAAAATAATATACGCGAGAAAAAAAAAACACAAAATACAAATCCAAATGGAACAAATGTAAAAGTTTACAGTTAGTTCTAGTTAGATTTAATACCAATAACCGATATTACTAATTACGTATTTTTAAATATTTATATAAAATGTTCATTATGCAGATTTTTAACAATTATGTACTGAAGTCATTCTAAATGAAATAGGCTACCTTTTTTTGTCTTGGCTATAACGAAACACTATAATCTTGAAGAACATTTTGTGTTACAACACACCAATTTATTTTGTTAATAATAAACTTTTATAAAATAGCTGTAACTACAAACGGAATTATTTTCTTAATATTTCGTTCAAGAGTGAGTTTACGCTTTATAAAAGTTGGTAATATTTTTTAATCCACACAAACATCTTTTAGGTGGTTTATTTCACTTGGACTGACTAATTGATCTGACTTGGCCTGAGTATTTTTGCAAAAATAAAAAGACACGAAAGATCGAGTCCGTACGGTGCGTCATTTTACTTTTTAATATGAAACAACTATTTGTACATTTTTATGAACAGCAGTGTAGATCCGGTGGGACCTTAAGGTTGCTAATCGAGTTTTATTTACTAAATATAACGTGTTTTTTCGGAACCCTAATTTATGTTACAAATTTACACAACAAATATTTTATTATTATTAAACATAAAATAAAATATAATGTCACATTTGGACGACCTCTGAAGAATACTGACTTTATTGCGGTCAGAGCAATTCCTTTTTGCATTAAAATAAAAACAACGAAATTAATGAATTAACTTATTTTTGCCACCTTTTTTTTACAGCAGACATTAAACTAACAATTTTATTTGCATAGCTTATTCCACAAAAAATAAACCCACCATAAAGTTTCTACCACTCTATGGATCACTAAACAAATGCAGTTGAGGAACGCGATCCATTTAACAATCAAAGATTTTATTAATATTTGTTGGGGTAGTTGTCAAATTATTACTAATATAACACAAATATTCGTTAAATAGCTATATACCCAAAACAGAAGGAAAATATTGTTTTTGTTGTGTTTACAACTTAATCCATGAGAATTAATAGGTGTTGTTTTTTTTTGATGAAAATTTAATACCTACAATAGAAGTTGTGTTTGTTTATTTCATTGTTACAATTCATTCAGTCGTTTCCAAGGTTTTAATTTTTCTAATCAATAACAAATAGAGAATAGAGTAATATTTCAATATGTCTGCAGTACTCTTTTTTAGGCTTTAGTAGGCTTTTTTAGTACTATATTCCCATATATTTGGAACTAATCCTATTACGGACTGGTAATTTTTTGCCAAAACTTAAATGGATAATAAAAATCTTCAGATTTGTATAACTTAATTCAATTTTTATTAAAATAATAATAAAAATAATAATTCGTAACGAGGTCGTTTATATTTGGTTAAAAATTACAAAAAAAAAAAATAATTGCATTTTCCGATAATTACACGCAGACTAATTTATGAATGTTGCAGGAATGTTATTTTATTAATTATAAAAACGGAAATGAGTGTAATGTTTAATCTTAAAAGCAAATTTATTCCAGACAAAATTTAGAATTGCAAAGAAAAGCAGACAAGACATGGAATATGAAATTAAATAAAAAATTTAGTTAACGCATTTATTTATATGCATGACTGTCACCGAGTGTCAACCTTGTCTCTTTAGCTTCTCCATATTTTGGCATAGAACTATAATTACTGACTGGTTACGTACCACTATCCATTAATGAGGTTTTTTGTATTTATAGCAGCAATAAGTGTTCATTAAAAAGTAAAACAACGCCCTACAAATCTATTTGCGTTTTCGATCCAACTTCCCGAATTAACAACACTGTTCGATCTTAATCGCGATAACCCGCCGCATATGTGAAACATGCAATTAGTGCAGTGTGCACTAATTTTTTCAATTTTGATTACACTCAGAACAAGATCGTCAATATGCACGCTTTTCCGATAACTCCGGTCGACGGTAACGTTTTCAATCAAGCCTCGCCTCCGGGCAAGTCCTGAATTTTTAAAAGTCTGATAGCGTAATTGGGAGTCTCACCTGGTTCTCGACTAGCATCGCCATATCCATGAACATGTCATGAAGTTCCTTGATTGAATTTTCTAATTTAATAATATCCGCATGCCTCGCTTCTATATCCGCTAGGGTTTGCTTGGCTTGTTGCGTTTCCATTATAATCTGAAACGAACAGACGTCAAACAATCTCCCTCGAACAACAATCCACTGTTTTCTCAACTTACACCTTGTGTGAACACTGCTGGGTTTCCCTGTTCTAACATCTCTTCTAATTCTTCGTTTGTTGTTTGTCTACCGGCTGCAACGAAATCACGTTTTGTACACGAAAAACACGGCGAAAAGCAGTGTCGTGGAGCTACAAGTTGTGGCGCCGGGGGGCGCAGCATCTTTCTCGGCCACTTTTTGAGTTACTGAAGTTATTCAAATGCAATTATTAAATTAGATCGCGTGAAAGTCGCATGAACAGCCTGTGCGAAAGCTCTATTGAGTCGATATCGGGCTTTAAGACATCTGTTCAGCGACTGCAATTTTATATTTTTGACAAAATTATGTCGGATCTTGCAATTTTGTATATTCGTGGCTCGAAGGGGTGTTGCCCGCCCGGCTGCCCCGTAGCTACGCCACTGGTCGAAAAGGAACTCACTGATTTCTAATTGCCTTTGTATTCTCCCTTTACATCGTTCCCTGTAGTCCGTTTGCGTTCGATTATATTCCGTCATGACTTCTACAAACTTCCTGGATAGCGTCGAGTGCTGTGTTTTCCGTATCCTCAAATCCGCCGATGATTTATTGATTTGTTCTTCTTGCTCTATATTTTGTTCTATCACTGCAAAAAGAGTTATTCGTCATGATTACGTCGATCCGTCATTAAAATAACAAGCCGTGAAATTTTGTCGTTTAAACCAGACTGATCGCTATTTAACGATCCAATAAAAGCGAAAAACCCGATCAAAGTTTTCTCTTTCGCGCTTCAATTTCGTCGTACGCCTTTGTCAGCACTCATTCACTCCAATTTGTTTACAAGACGATAGCTACTCAATACACGCTATATAACCCATTATAATTTCTCTTGTGTTCGTTTCATTACATCTCATTCTAGCCCGGAATTCGATTGACACTTACCTTTAAGCTTGGCACGGACTTTATTGGCAGTTTTCTTTATATCGGCCATTAAATCTTCAAGTTCTTGTTTCGTTTCTGGAAAAGAGAGAAGGTTCGTTAATAATGTGGCTATTTTTAGACTTTGTAGGATCATAATTAAGTATGAGAGCAGATAGAAAACTTTAAAACAATCGATTTGGATTGTAGTGTATTGTATACAATGGATGTCACTCCATTGTCTTGTATTGTGACGGCAACAATGAAGGAAAATGGGTATCTAATTCGTTATTTTACAGGCAAACACAATGTGTATTATCGTTTTTAACAGTGTACAAGTACTGGCGTGTATTTTCTCGATGGTCTGTTAGACCGTCATTCATAAATTCAGCAAACGTACCAAGCTATATGGTTATTAAAAATCTGAAAGTTATTGTTACTTCCGGCTAAAACGAAACCGACCGATGTTCTAAACAAGTATCGATCTGTTTCGTTTTTCGTTAATTAATGGTTTTTAAAACAGACAATGGCACAATTGCGATTTTTTTTTAAATATACAAATTCAATACCTTTCACGACGTCTCGCTCACTCCGCAACAATTTCGTCACTTCGGCAACTTTCTGTATATATATATATAGCCTTGTATGCAACGGTTTTATTCTTCTTTAGTCGCTCCATTTGTCAATTTTATTACTTTGAAACTTTTACTATTAACAAGAAGAAAAACTTTTATGAATGGAAAACTCGTCAAAAAACATAGCTTTTTCTATTAACATTTTTGCAAACTTAACTTTACTGTTTTCCGTGAAGTAAACTTTCAATACTACTTTGGTTGCTATACAACTTTTTTTCCTTAAAACAGTGTTTTTTTCCACTCTCTTCTCTTATGGCTCTTGTTGCGTTGAAACGGAAAAGTAAAGCACCTACCGAAGCTTCTTAAGAACTAAAGGTAAATTGAAGGTGTAAAAAAATTAATTGGTTCTTTAGTGTACATCATATAATCATCTTGAATAAGGGAATCAAACCAAGTTTACATACTTAGTGATACATAGAAACATATTTTGATGCATATACCTATATCACTGATATTACAAAAAGAGCATTAAACAAACACAGTTTCAAACTTTCTCTTTCACAATTATTAACCACATTATTCGAGAAATAATGGAAAATAAATCAGTTCATTTTTCCCGTAATCAATGCAAGTCATCATTGTACTATTATCGATTTTTCTAGTGGACCGTACGACTTTAGCATAGCAACAGCCTTAATTAATGGACAATTTCGACTTATTTCTCTCTTCACTTAAAATTCATGTTTTTTGTTTTTATTGTATCTCAATTTATTGTTATTAAAATTTGTTATTTCCCTCGAAATGAATCATGAATCCCAATTTATTATTAATGCAAACATAAATATTAAAGTCTGGAATTTATCCACCCAGCTATGCTCTAGCGCACTGTGTTTAATTCCCTGAATATTTCAACTGAATCTTAGTTGTTTCTGTGGGTCTCTTTAGCTCACAAACAAATGTCAACACCTGCCTACGAACTATCGAAGTTTGAAATAATCACTTCTCACACATTAAAATTAAAAGGTTCACGCGAGGACACACGAAATGCTATGATCATTTCAACGATAAATTATTGTCTACGTAGTTTTTTCGCCGATTTCTAATGCATGTTGCATATGGTGTTGTAGGTAGTTTGACAGGTGGGCAGGCTTTCTACAACAGTTGGTATCGTTGCTTATTTCCAAATACTAATACTCATCAAATTCGTGTTCACAGATTTTCTACGTTAAATATTTGACTCAACTCCCTAATTCCGTCTGTCCTCTGTGTTGATTCACTACAGATATCTCCGGAACTGCGGGACCAATTTATTTAAAATTTATATGTAAGGAATATCGTGTAGATGATAAAATACTAACCAAAATTTGTGTAATCATCGCTAGCTAAAATTTAGTGACGTCACTTCAACATTTTGCATGGTAAATGTTATTGAAATATTTATAAAATATTATTCCTTCCAACAATACCTTAGATACGTAATACGAAGCAAGCCGCAGGGTAAAGCGCCAGGTTGAGACGATCTTTATTACTTATAAAACATTTCTAAAAATTTTAATAATTAATTTTCTGTTATGTATTGTCATTTCTGGTGATATTAATGTGACGGTTTATGCATATTTGATGGCGTTTTACACAGACAGGAACAACCTTTCCAACATTCTTAAAATACTGTTCATCTGTCAGCCCGGCGACTTTTTTCCCTTATCGGTCACTGTCTCTGTCTCTCCCCAACATTCCAACTTATCTCCAAATAACTCCCAAGGCAATTTTTCAAGAGCTTACTCCACAATTTTGCCTGATTAATGTGTTTTCGCGACCTCTGGATTCCCCTTTAACCATGCATTCAAACTAAGGCCAGCTTGTCCTAACCCACTTACTCACTCACACAAAAAAACACCCCTGCTAACTCGCATTCCGCGAGGAAAAACAACATTTTTCCACCTCCTCAAGCATAGATCTCAAATAACCCCTCAAAATCCTGGCTCGTAAAAAATTACTTTTTCACGAAGTACGCCAATCCTGCAATAAAAAAAATCCAATCAACCTCTCGAGGAACGTCTTTTCTCCTGTCTGACGTCCATGGCGACAGCGTGGGCCGCATTCAGAGAAAAGCGTAGGTGGATGCATAGGATCCCTTATCAATCGCAATTTGCGTTGGCTGATGATAACCCACGTCAAACGTAAAGCTCGGATAAATACTCACGTAGCGCGCAAATCGCGTTTTTGCCACCTGAAGCGATTAAAACGTAACGGGGTTACGTAAAACGGTTAATTTAATAAAGGATTTTCCTTTTGACGTTTCGTTATTTCGCTTTAAATGCGGTTTCTGCTCTGCTGGCTACATGGACGATTTTCTGACGTCAACGAGTCGCGTTGCTTTGGCTCATTTTTCAAATGATAGTTTCTTCCTGATGGTAATTTGAAGAGAGCATTGTTGTGTTAAGTGTAGGAGGAACTGAATCCATTAGCGCGACTAAACGATTCTCGAAATCACTCATAAATTTTCGAGGCTTTGACAAAGCGTCAAAAGTAACAAAGCAACACTCGTGCTATTAATATACGAAGTTCTAAGTTATTTACATAGGAAAAGTGGCTAATTATGTACGCCGTACAATTAAACGTGACCTCACTATGAAATAAATGAGTAGTTTCCAGAACGACATTTTCTGAATTAGAATCGTAAATATCTAGTCCTTATAAATTATTTTGTGATAAATAGTAAATAATTACAAAAATTTACTGATTACTTTTATTGATAACAATACTTTCATATAGGTAACTTAAATACATAGTGAAAAATTTGGTGCAATATGGGAACAACACAAATTTTTTTAGGTCCGTTGAAAGGGATATTTAACAAAGTTTAGCGTTTTATAGTCACTTTCCTGGAATTTTATTAAATCTATATTTAACGCCGAGTATTCTAGATCTTATCCTTTCATCTCTCGACATCATTAGCTGCTAATTTTAATGTAAAAATAATAAGATTAACAAAGATTCTAACTTAAATACCACAAGTGTTACATCGTCTGTTGAATATCAATGCGAAAGCATTTTGTAAGAAATATGTTTCTTTCTCGTAAAAGTTATTAGGTTTTTATTGTCCCAGATCACGTAAAAATTCCATTAAAACTTTACCCTTCTATACGATAGAAATAAAATATACACACCTGTTTTTCACAGTTTTGGCATAATTACATTTTTTGCAACTTCATGTCAGGCCAGAATTGTTATGCTTGGTGTAAAAATAACAAGCAATTTTTCACCAGTAATTTCAGGTTTTATTTTTTATAAATTGAGGGACTTCTGTTAGTTACAGCTGAACTTCCAGTTTAATGTTCGTTGTTTCCACGAGACGATTCTCCCAGAGTGTAATTTAAAAGTGGTTTTTATTTCCCAAGCAATGTAGTTGAGAGAAGTGTTGTAAAAGGGCCATGCCGTGATTAATAGCTTGCAGAATACGAAAAAACAAGTTTCTCGTTTTCGCTTGTCTGTCGTCTACCAGTGATTTTATTAGATACATAATTTTCGACTAACATTAAACTGTTTAATCCAAGGCGATTTTTCAGAATTGGAGTATGAAATTTTTGAAGACATTTAAACACTAAAGTTTATTTTTATATCCCTTCAGGTTGACGGCACTAAAAATCTACATCGAAAAATGAGTTCTCACATGATATTGCTCATGCTTCAGTGATGTGCTTTTACTTTTCAGAACTGCTTAAACACGATATCTCAATTTATTTTACGGATTATTTGAAAAACGGCTTGTATAATTTGAGTTAACGTGCTGTGCTTCAGTGTAGGGATGGAAGTTCTATGTAAATAACTTTTCTTTGGCAAATAAATTAAATTACGTTCTTTACAGATCTTTTTCAAAAGGTGAAGTTTCATTAATTTAAGGGATGATAATTAATTGTATACGAACTTTACAGTGCTGAAATAATGTCCTAATTTAATTAAGTGTGTAGTAATTAAAACACTTTACGTTAATCTAATTAAAAAGTCAATTTAGGGTATGAATGGAACTTAATTTAATTTACGCAAATCATCATCTAATCCAACATTTTAAACTCATTAATTTCCAAAAGAATTTATTGTTTTTTTTATAAATAATTAAATAGATCCAATTTCTGATTTGTACTTTATACTATACATTTGAGAAGGAAATTAGGTATATAAATCTATACACAAAATCAAAGCAATTAAAAGAAAAAACGTAATAAAAGTATTATTATGTGTTATTTTTTACAATTACCGTGGAGGCCGTATAACACTTTTATTGCATGGCTTTATATAAGTAATTTCTTTTTCAAAATTTCAGAAGTACCATGATCACTTTCTTTTCTTCAAAGTTTTTAAAAAACCTATCTACATAAGAATACAATACTTCAAGAACGCTGTTTGTTAACGTCGTGACTAGTAGAGTAGTATACAATGAACAATAAAGAACAATAGCGTGAAATACGTATAATAGCTAGTGGCTTCCTGTCATATTGTTGCTATCTCATCTACACTCTCGAA